CATAATAATAAATGTATAATTACATAATGTGCAGCAGAGCACTAAATGTGGCAAGTTTTTTTCTTTTGTTTGCTTGTCTTATTCCCACTTGAAAGAATCTTAAGTATAGAAGAAATAATGTCAGAAAAGATATTTATTGACATAAAAACTCTTGTTAAAACTTTTTAATTTGCAAGTGCAACAGAAGAAGCTTGATTTCCCAAAATAATGGTGATACTTTTTTCAGTTGCTGTATTGGTTTTCATTAAAACACTACAGAAAACATAGTTAAGAGTCAATCATTTCTAATAGGCTTATAGATTTATAGAGTTTTAAAACTTCCTATAATATGAGGACAATAAATAGTGCCGAGATAATAAATATATTAAACAATTGTCCAACTAAGGGAGAAGAAAAAACTATAGATTTGCTTTTTTTCTTAGTGCAACAATACTTTGGTCAGCATAGATGTTGTGTTATGCTTCTTGTATACTCTTCTGGAATTGTCTTTAAGTCCATAGTTTTTTGTTTGTTTGTTTGTTTTTCTATTTCTTCCTCCAGATTATTCTCATTAACATCATTTGTTAATCTATAAAAATGAAAGAGTGCTGCTCCATAGACAGTTATAGAGACTGGGAAGTGACAAACAAAGCAGCATTTGCTAAAGAGCAGACAATTAAACAGAAGTGACAGACAAGTCCAATTACCACATGCAAATGAGAATACATTAATTATATAGTATAAGGGGAAAAAAAAAAGCCATATTTGTCAAAAATCCTGCTATTCAGAACTGATTCGCTATCCGGATGAGCCCTATGTAGTTCAAAGTTTTATGAACCTCTGCATCACTTTTAACCATTAAAAAAAAAAAAAAAAAAAAAAAAAAAAAAGTATTTCTCCTCAACTCAGTCTTCCCTATGGTTTAATGTTTAATGTTTTGCTTTTCTGTTTCTCCACAGGTAAAATGTTGAATGCCTTTAAAAATAAATAGCATATTGCCATTCTGAATCCTGACTAGTCCATTTATTTTGTTACTTCTTCCCAGAAAACTGCAGATGTTTCAGGGAAGTTTCAAATAACCCTGCAATACATTTATTTGCCTTGAAGGATTTTTTTTTTTTTAATTTTTATTTTTTTGTCAACTATTCTGGATGAACTCCAAGACAATGCCATAGCTGACTTGAATATGGTGATGACTTTTTTCCCTACCTTCAAAATGTTGGCCTGTGTGAAATGTGTATGATCATAGCATTTTGCTGGTGACAATAGATGAAAATGTACTGAAATGCACTTGCAATTGGTGTGCATTCATCAGAGTTTGATGCAGAGTAATCACATCAGCCACAGCCATCTTCTTTTATTTGGCAGTTGTAAGTATCTGCACCAATGACGTCCATCTACAGTGATTGTTCTGCTTTACCCTTTCCCACAGTCCCACAAAGCTAAGTGAATTCCTGGAAGAATAAAAATATGCAGTCCTCTATGGCTTGCCTACATATGAAAGTTATTAGGAAATGAGGAGATGAATTTTAAAACTATTTAAAAACTTGTAGCTATTTCACATGGCATCTGATATAAAGGCTAGTATTCTGCACTTCTGAGGAATATTGAGTTAATCTTCACAGAAGCAATGGGCACAGTTTCAAAATTGCTTTAAAATCATTTAGGTGGGGCTAGTGTCATAATTCTACTGTCTCTTATGTGTTGGTCAAACAACAAGCCAGATCAGAGAATTTCCTTTCAGAACATTAAACCCCAATCACAGAACAATGTCTTTCCATCTAGAGCCATTCTCTGATTTAGGTTGCTACTTGGGTATAAAAACACTTGGACTCACATGAAGAGGAGAGCAGGGAAGAGAATGAATGGTCAAAGGTGGCAGTGAAGTGGGACAACTGATTTTTCTGACAAAATGTTTTCAGCTGAAAGTGGCTGTGGAAGCCAGACGTAAGAAGGGCAGCTACAGGAGGAGTAATGAAGAAACAATTCATGTCATCTGCTCTTGACATAAGGGTTTAGGCATGCAACTTGAAGGTCAACTGACAGTGGCAGACTCTTTTACAGGATCGTTCTGAGCACTTGGGCTTGTGTTCTGAATGACCTCTTAGAGAAGCTCATTTCTGTCCATTGGCTATAAAAAGCCTCAGCAGATAAGACAAAGGTAGATTGTTGTTGGGAAAACAAAACAAAACAAAACAAAACAAAACAAAACCCTGTTATTTAGTGTTTTTTTCCTGCACAGAGTACTTATAGCACTTGTTTTGAAGTTACTTTTGACAGTTTGGTCAACAGGGTTAGCTAATTATCATGGTAATTACCTTTCATTGTGGCAGTCACGAGTAAATCTCAGTTGCTCTAAACTGTGTGTAACTGATTAAGATGATCATTGACTCAGAGAGCTTATGGACTTAAGAAAGTCAGTGAATGGCTAATGGAGAAGAAAAGCAAATTTCTAGGAAATTTTCTGCCCAATTCTTGTGGAAAGAGTGTTAATGTATTTACCTCTTCCTCATGATTCTTCAAGCTTTTAGTCTCCAGAGCAGAATTGTGAAAGCTGTACATTCTTGTTTATGAAGCTGCTGTCAGTGCTTTACTAGCAGTGCCCCAGCTGAGCATATTTCACTATATGTGATGGCTGTATTTAGTAAAAGCAATCATGCTGACAGTCTGCATGATGGAAGCCCTAATCTGTGCAGTGTCATGCACTATGCATCACCACAAGGGAATCTCTAGTGACTCGTTATTAATGAGAAGGAAGAAGTGACATTATTATTATTATTTATGACTTACCCTGCTCCACAGATGTGTGAGGCACTTTAAAAAACAAATAAAGATGGAATCCCTGCTGATAACCATGCAAAGAAGCTAGACACAATTTTTATCCTCATGACTCCTACTGCAAAGTGTCTAAAGAAAGTAGCTGGGCAGCAGTGAGGGCAGGTCCATCTTCTAAATCTGTCAATGAGTTCTGGGTAAATGGAGAATGGACAGCATTGTAAACACCTGATTAGACTTAATTCTGCTTAGTAGTTCAGTTACATGTAGGAATCCAATCCAGACCCTCCTTCTCTGAACCTGAATTAGAGCTTCATGTACAAGTGAAGAATTAACAGCTAGGCTTATTTTTCCTGCCTATACAAACAGAAACAAATGTACTATTTTCCTACAACATGGAACATAGGAAAGGAAGGAATGTTTTGACTTTCTCTGGGTTTTCTTACTTGCCAATGTGTATTTTAAGGGAAAGGAACACATTCTATATAACAATGATGGAAGGAGGAAGAAAGCACACACTAAAGATTAATATGCAGGTACTATTCTAAAAACTAAGAACGAAATAATGAAAGAATTGCCATTATTAATAAAAAATAAACTTTTATCTTTTGATTTTGAGGTATTACCGTGTTTATTTTTTTCCTTTTTTGGTTCCATATTGTCTAAAGGTCCTGAGCTGGGTCAAGGGAAGTAACAGGATGACACAAATATTTGCATGGGACAAAAGCCTTTCAGTTCTTGCTAAATTTTGCTCTGTAAGTAAATAAGCAAGTAAAATATGGTCAGCATACCGCAACTGTTTATCTCTCTGGTTATAGGTCATATTTTTTTCATCTTTCCCTCTGCTTCATCAACTGCTTCTACTGTCATCCTTCCTGGTTTGCAGCTATGAATAAACATCCTTACTAACTTGAAGCTGCATCAGCTCCAGGCATAGTGTGTTGTAGATGAATAGTTAGGTCCCAGACTAAAAAGGAGCTATGAAACAGAAGCTCCAAACCTGTTAACACATGCTTCAGTTCTTCACCTCCTTCATGACCAAAGCCTGTTATGTTACTTCCATTTGACCAGTACGTTAACTTTGGTCTGAATGAACATGCTACCTCCCTCACCACTAGCAGAAAGTGTTCAACATATATCAGCAGTACACAGAAAGAGAAAGAAAGAAAAGATGACAGGAGATGCAAAAAAGTCATTCCCAGCACTTATTATTTTAGCATATCTCATGTAAGAAACCTTCCCATGGATCCATCTGTGGGATCAGTCATTCTTCCAGAAAGCTCATTGGATGGAAAAAATCCATAGCTTCAAAATGGGATCTTCAAGCCCTAAACTTATTTCCTAATTACAGAGAAAGTTTTCTGGTGTTCATGGCATGCTGCAAAATGTATCCATTTATTCAGTCACGTCTTAACAGAATGTTCTTTAAAAAATCTCTTACACTTGGCTTGTTTCCACTCGGTTTCCAAGAACACCTTGATTTCTTCACATTCCTGTAAATTTTATAAAGCTAACACCCCTTTCCATCCCCATTTTAGCTTCTTATAATATACATGTATATTGCTATGGCTGTATCTTTACTTCATTTCTTTTTATGTGATATTGCAGAACAGCTTGCAAAACATCTGGCAGTAAATGGTTTATATTTTGAGGCTATTGTTTTGCATGAGAAACTTTCAGAGACATTAGCAAGTTTTGGATAAATGTCATTGTTAGTGCACAGTACTTTGTTCTACTGTTATGGGAGGATTAGAGAAATTTCCTCATGAAACCAAAATCTTGAAAACTTTAGGGTTTTCTCTTTCCTTGCCAGCATGAATGATGGTTATAACAGAAAGTACAGGTTCTAATTTTGCCATAGCTGTAAGTTTCATAAATTTCTTCTGGTTTGGGATGAAAGAAGGATGTTATTTTCAGCAGCACATACCCACTAAAAGCATCAAATGGTCCAAGGGAATAAAGTTTTACTGAGCTTGGTGAAGTTATGCTGATCTATTAATACAAACTAACAACCACTTCTGGGCAATGCAGTAAAACTGCATATAGTTAAATCATACTGTAGGTAGTGAAACCAGTGAAACTGTTTCATAAAACCCATGAAAAAATGTGATTGCTATGTATGCTCAGACATTACAGCAGAACCAATGGGTTTCTTAGGTCAGGAAAAAGTATAGGCGTGACTTTTATGACAATATTAAAGAAAAACACATGGAGAAGCATTGAAATTAAAATGATGGAATACAAAGTTTGCAGTTGTACAGTTTATTTATTTATTAAATGTAATAAAGTGTTTTATATAAAACTTTGAGATCTTGCAAAACAGAGATTATTTGGACACAGCTCAATTTTCAGTTGAGTTCATATCTGGGATTGTCCCCTCTTCCAGTATTTGAGACAGGGCAGGATTTATCTAACATATTCAAACCTTGGTGGTACAAAATGGTATTTCCATCTGTCTATAGACCTTGCATCCAAAATATGTATACTATCAGATATGGAAATATAGGATAAATTATATATTTTTCCTCACAATTAACACATAACAACACAAATGCAATTAGAACTAAAGAAATCAAACACAGAGGATCATGATCACTTGACTCACGGCTTCATGAGGAATAATGTCAGCAGTCACAGAAAGGTTAGTGGACGACATAAACACAGTAGACCAAACACAGCAAACCATCTCTTCCTCCAGTATAAAATGAAACAGTTCTGACTTAGAACTTAGTACAGTAACAACATAACAAAGTAAAATCATCTTTTGTTTAGTGTCTCTCTTTGGTTTTTCTTTCAAAGTTACTGTAAGATATACTAAATGCAGGATGAGACAGAAAATCTTCAAATAGAAATGGCAGAAAACAAGAAAAGAAAGAATCCTTTAAGCTCAATGATATATTTTTCAATGCTTTTTTTTTTTTTTTTTTTTTTTTTTCCTTCCCTTCCCTTTTCTTTTGACAAGCCTTAGGCTGGGGCTTTGATCTATATTTCAGTCACTAAGGTCCTTTATCAGAGAAAACACAAGAAAAGGAAAGTGATAGACACAGGCAGAATAACAAATAGATGCACCCTGAGTCACCACAGAGTGACTTTTCTGCACCTCAGTATCTCTTAAGCATAAACCCTATCTGGAAACTCTATCTGCAATGGAAACATATGGGAGAGGCAAAAAAAAGCCCTTAGGGGCTAAACCAACCCCCACTGATTGTCAAAACTTTTTTTTTTTTTTTTTTTTTTTTTTTTTAGGCTGTTTAGCCTTAGCTTCAAGAGGATAAAGCCATGTAATGTTCTAACATTCCCTGGATACTCCTTTTTCTGCTCTTCTCCCATCCAGCAACACAAGTTGCTTCTCTCCACATGCCATTTTTGATGTATGCATACACCTGTCTAACTTCCAGGAATTATTTATAGCTGCATAGTGTAAAATGTGTAGATCAAAACTCTGTACAATTCAATTGTCTGTCTCTGACACAGGCCATGGACAGATGCGTAAGGGAAAAGCAGGGCCAGAAAGTAGTGTTTGTCCTTCACTTCCAAAGTTTTTCAGGCTAGACAGTTCCTGAAATGGAGGTGATAGCTCAGTATCTAGTCACTTTCACAGGATTCTCCTTCTAGGAGTATGGAGGTACCTTAAACACAACCATATTAATAGATTCCTTCAGAAATGTTTCACACCCCATGTGAGGAATGACTTCATTTTGTCTGTTTTGAACTTACCACTCAACAGTACAACTCATGACTTTAAGATCATGTGCTGCAAGTTGATCCCTGTTTGCCTCCTTGTCATTCTTGCTCTGGGCCACCTCTTCCCTAGCCTGAAGAATCCTGGTCTTTTTCATAGTTTCTTGCACAGATGACATCTGTGTCTTTGATCAGCAATGCTGCCCCTGTCTGTGCCTTTTTCATTTCTACTCTATCTGAAACAGAAAGACCAGAAATGCGCATAGCATTAGAGATACAAGTATACCATAGATTTATACACCAGCATAATAACATTTTCTATTTGTTCTCTATTCATTTCCTGATAATTCCTAACATTTGATTTGATTTCTGACTGCTACTCAATTCTGAGCTGATGTTTTTATATAACTATTTATTATACCCCCAATATCCATCTCTTGAATGATAATAGTCAGCCCAGAGTCCATCATTTTGTAAGTAAAGCTTTATTGCTTTTACCTATGTGCATTACTTTACATTTATACACGTTGAATTTCATTTGCCATTTTATCTCTCAGCCATTTAGTCTTGTACAGTCTTTTTGCAAATCTTTGCAGTCAGCTTTTATTTTACTAACCCAAGCAAGTTCATGCCATCAACAAAAGTTTGTGTCCTCTCTCTCTACGCCTCAGAGACTAGTGCATTTTCCCGGTGTTTTCAGGCAGCTGAGTCAGGGCCATAGCACTAAGCAGAAAAGAGACAAACTGGTCTACCTTAGCTTTCCTACTAGAATTATTTGCCCTTTATGCTTTCAGAGCTTCCTCCTTAGTTTTGTATAGCTGGCTATAGGCCATCATCTTTTTTTTTTTTTTTTTTTTTTTTAATCATATTTATTCTTCTTATAGACCAACATCATAATTCATCTCTTTGACCTTGCATAGAATTTTGAGATTAAGTTTGGAATAGACTACTTCACAAAGACAACAAAACTTCCTTCAAAATAACGTTCAGCTCAAAGGAAATTAACAAACTTAAATACAGTTACATTAAAAAAACACAGAAGTGGCATAGTATGCTTAGCTACCACAATGGAGAACCGTAGCTAAGGCGCATTGGTTTTTGTAGACAGGGGTGCACAATGACTGATGTGACCAACAACATATCCATCCACTTGGGTTTCTAACACAAATGGCCAGGAGCACACTTCCACCTGTGTCAAGAGTGACTTCTGAGGAAAGTACAGAATTTAACTCTTATGCTTGCTTCAGGATCCATGATAAAAATGTCTTAACATCCTTGACATGTCAAGACTTCGCTTGGTCACTGTAAGTGATGCTATTTCTCTCTCTCTTTTTTTTTTCTACATTCCACCAACCTAGAAGCTCAAAGAGAGAAGGTAAAATCTCTGTAGAAAACTCACATACCACCCTCCAAATGGAAATTAACATGTTAATAACCTTGTTAAATATCTTTAACAATAATCTTGCTAAAGAATTCAGCCATTCCATTGATTAGATGAGCTGGCGAGTTTCTCTGCACTGCATTTACAAGACCACTTAAGATTATTTTTGAGGTCCTTCATAGTTGTCTCAGCTCTTAATAACACACAGATTTTCCTCTCCAACTAGTATGGTTCATTTACTGAGCTCTTTTCCTTTCAGTCTATGTATAAATATGCCATTATGTTCTCTAAACCTTATTTAAACTTCCTGAAGCAAAGTAACAACAAACTTCCCACCAGAGTTAGCAGCAGATTTCAATGGATCTGCTCATGAGTATGGACCCTGCGACTTGGCACAGACAAAAAAACACTGGTGTGTAGGCTACTGCACCATTTACCTCTTTCTTCAGTAAGAATAGAACATTATTCCTTCTTCCTTTTTCCTATCTCCTAGCAAGATTTTAATCCATGTGAAGTCTTACCTCTCACTCCATGGTTACCAAGTTTCCTGAAGAGTTTCTTGTAAGAGTCTTTATCAAAAGTCTTTTGAAAGCCTGAATTAATTTTATCCACCATTTCTCCCTTATTCACTATTTTGTTAACTCTGAATGAGTGTCAGCAGCATAGAGAGAGGAACAGTTTGGCCTTTGAGAAACCCAAGCCTTTAGTACTATCAAGTTGTGTACATTAAATTAATCTATAACTCTACCTTCAATGTTTTTCTTGACTATTTTTCTTGCTGTGGAGATATGTCCTGCATATCTATCTATTAAAAAATATTGTGTCTGGCACCTTATGAAAGATTCAGGTCATCTTGGCTATAACCCAGTTGGCCATGGTAGCAGGTCTTTATTTCAGATTTTTAACAATAAATTGTGTATCGTTAACGAGCAATTCAGCTACTTCATTATTTAGTCCCTCAGAGCTCCCAGACAGCTAAGACACAGGATTAATGATTAATTACTATGTAATATGTTCTGTTGTTGCAATACCTTTTTTTCATTTGGACTTTGGGTTCCCAGAGAACATCTCATGCTCACTTCATCTTGAGAGCAATACCTATTTAAGTCATTTCTGTGAACAAACATTTATAGTAAATTACACGTCAATGAACTTTTTGCTTGGCTACTTTTCAACAGGGTGGTAAGGAATGCATGCAATTGAATCACCTATGTGAGAAGGAGTTGAGGGACCCAGATGGCAATAGGGCAATAGGCAAAACAAAATATAGTCAGAATTGTGCTTTCTTTAGAATATGGCTGTGGGGAGCATGAATTAGTGAGATTCAGCTCAAGCTATCCAACTGCCTTGCCAGCCTTTCTTAGGCAAACCATTTAAAAGCCATTTAACCTCTTTAACTTAATATCTACGGCTATGGGTGATAATATTTGCCAACTTCCTGAACATGTTATGAGGAATAATTAAGTAAATTTTTGAAATTGTTCTAATTATGTTAATTTCAGAGCATAAAATCATTCCCCCCCCCCCCCCCAGGAGACGTGAGCAGAGGGGAAGAAAAAAAAAAAAAGAAGAAACTAACTAACTAACTAACTAACTAACTAGCTAAATAAATACTTCATATTACTGAAGAGGGCAAATTATTCTCTTGAGACTGAGACAAATATTGCCTAGCACAAATTGGATTTACTTATAACCTGACATATATTTGAGTAAAATTGGTGTAATTTCCCTGAAACTAATGAAAAACTCATTTACACCACCTGGAGCCCTGGTTCTTTTAATTCAGTGAGGTTACTCTGAATTTATGTGGGTGTAAACCAGAACTGCATTTATTTCACTCCTAAGATATAATACTCTCCTTTCCTATTCCTGTGATGGTTGGTAGCTAAAATAAGCTGTGGGATACTGACATGAATGAAATTAAAAGAGGAGAGGAGAGGAGAGGAGAGGAGAGGAGAGGAGAGGAGAGGAGAGGAGAGGAGAGGAGAGGAGAGGAGAGGAGAGGAGAGGAGAGGAGAGGAGAGGAGAGGAGAGGAGAGGAGAGGAGAGGAGAGGAGAGGAGAGGAGAGGAGAGGAGAGGAGAGGAGAGGAGAGGAGAGGAGAGGAGAGGAGAGGAGAGGAGAGGAGAGGAGAGGAGAGGAGAGGAGAGGAGAGGAGAGGAGAGGAGAGGAGAGGAGAGGAGAGGAGAGGAGCTCTCCATATTCAGGGAATAATTTTTTGTTATTTATTTCACCAATAGCTAGAAATCTACTTGGATTTCTCTTTGGCATTGTCCTAGGCACAGTAACAAACTAACTAGATAGGAGGATGTTGAATCAATATTATGTTTAGTTTTTTTTTTGCACTCCTCTTCCTTCCTGCACCTCTGCTAAACTGCTTATTGAATGATGAGGTAGGGATATGGAGCTCCTGGGCTCACCTGGCTAAGAAACAGTATGCTGTAGCCTAATTCCCTCTACCACTTTAATGATTCTCTCTTTTCTTTGTGCCAAATAAAGCTGAATGCAGCACACCGATAAAAGGAGAGACAATGCCCTTCTCAAAGAGCTTCTAGCAGAAGCAGACAACTTCGAATGAAGAAAAGAGAGGAGAGGTAGTGTGCCTGAGCTTGTGGGCCAAACCAGAAATAGAAAGTGAACCAGCGGCTCTTGAGATCCATATGCCCGTGTGCCATTATACTCTGTTTTGCAAAACACAGCAGCTAATGATACCTTTCTTTGTTGGGTGCTGGAATTTTTGAATACTGGTGCCACAAGATTAATTGCAGCCTTTGGAAATGCTTTGTGTTATCTCTCTGTTACAAGTGACGATGATTTCTTTTTGCTTTAGAAGTTTGGATTGGTTTATTTGAAATTTTACGAGAGTAAAAGAGTTTTACAGAGGTAAAGAGGAAGAATTATCACTGTATGTTAAAGAAAGAGTTATCACCAGTAGTCATAATAGCAAAAGGAAGGATTATCACTAGCAAAAGCTCAGGAGGATTACTTGGGATTCAGCAATGTACAGTAAACAATCTTTATCTCTTGCTGAATGTCAGAGTGTATTTTACAATATATTTGGCTTCGGTGTTCCATGGGAAAAAAAAAAAAAATCAGATGCTTTTTAATGCTGTAATTTAAGTTTAATCATTCTGAATCTTAGAATTAAATTAATATTCAGTTGTCACAAACCAGGTAAAGAAGCTGTCTATGAAAGGAACAAGAAAAATCATTGTAATTTCATTTCAATCTAGTTCCAATTTTACATCTTTTTATCACCACCCCCTCTACAAGTTATCAGTAGTTCCATAAGAGGCAGTAGAGATGTATAATCATGGGGATAATGTACATGACATCACGTAAAAAAAAAAATAAAAAAAAAATCTAGTTTCAAAAGCTTCACGTTTAAGTTAAACACTTCTTAAAAACTAGAATTAGTTCTAAAAGAGACAAAACATGGGAGAAAACTTTTAATATTCTGCTGGAGATTACTTAGATACCATGAAGATAGGCAGCCTATAGCATATTGAAAAGATTTAAAAGGCCACATAAAGACACTGAGCTTGTCTGTAACATGATGGAATTGCCTGAACTTACATTAGTTTTGCCCCTGGAAATTTATATTCATATTTATAGTTATATAATCAGATTTATAAATCAAAAATATCCTGAGACAAATTCTGTGTCAATTCTGTGTCTTCAAGAACTTATCAGTGGTACATTCCAAATCATCCTCTGTTGGAACTGGGGAATAAGAGTGATGTTTTGTCTTCTTTCACACCTTTTTCTTAACTTTGACCAGTGACTATATGGAGACATAGTATGACTGCTTATAGCACATCCCCCTTGGAGTTAAATAACACAAAAGAGTATTGTGTCCCTGATCAAGGTGCCTCCTATTGGACAGAATTCTTGGCTACTGGAGAAAAAAAAAAAAACACTCTATTCAAAGTACCTTTTTAGTTATACATTCATTCTGGCCTCTAAGTTAAGAGAACACACATTTTGAGTTTTTTTTTGAAGTCATTATTTTGCAATGAAGCTATGGTACTGAAAAGTATGGCTGGAATTACCAAGATGGAAAACTGTGAAAGGTAAAATTTGGTATTCTGAGCTGTTCAGGATCATTAAGTAGGGTAATTAACATTGCTTGCAAAAAAGATTTAATGTTCATGCAAATAACTATTTACAAACTATATTACTATGTTTAGGGAAATTAGCATCTCTTGATTGAAGTACAGATGAACCATATACAAAGTCACCTCTCCAACATATCTGGTAGTCTCAGAGTTTACATGGAGGATCATCTCAAGAATACAGCAGTAGAGATAAGGTAGTTTTAATGATTGTTGAAACTTCAGACTCAGCTGAGTTGGTATAATAAATCAATAGTGACTACAAAAAAAAAAAGTAGTGTATGAAAATAACAGTAGTAAAAAAGCCTAGTTATTGTACTCTCAAAAGCAGAAAGATCCAATTTTCCTCTCACACATTATATCTACAGCAAGAAATCTGACATCTTTACATGAGAGGTGATTATGTCATGCTAGTGGAAGGGAGTTTATACTAACAGAATTGCTTTCCTACAGTTGTTCCAGTGAATCCATGTGAAAATGTTTTTCCTTAAAGACAGTTATATCAACCTAGGTTTTCAGTCTTAACCGAAAGGTCCTATGTAAATTTTTCAGTAACAATACATCAGCTTATTCTGCCATTATGTACAGGTGGCCTAACAGTATTTCCCTGGGCTGTGGAAAGCTTGCATAGAAGCAACAATTCACATGACAAAACCATCTTCTTCTGGTAGGTGAGCAAATGAGCGAAACTCTTCCATTATTTTTTTTTTTTCCATTATATATCTCTGGATTTTGAAGAAAATCATTGGAAAAAGTTCATTTTCAGATGTGGCTCAGTGTGTGGCTTGAGCACACAGCAATGGAAAGCCAGCTTTAAGTGAGGCACAATAGGAAGCATGCAGGCAATGAGATCACTCACATCCTAAAGGCAGTACTCAGGACAGACTACATTAGCAGTACATTTCTCCTTTCTGCTGGGAACTTTACTGAAACCAACCTCTGAAAACACTTTGGCTTTGACAGTATATAATCTCCTAATACAGTTTCATTTCATTGAAATTGTACCAATTGTTCTTTAGTGGCAACTTGGCTGAGAGGACTCTGTCCTCCAGCAATATCTAAGTCCCTGCTCAGGTAACAAATAATCTATTTCTAGCTTGCAATTCCTTAAAAATTTGTCTTATCATGTAGCCTCTTTTCTTTGGCCTCAAGGTCAACTAGGATTGTATGTCATGACTAAACCATATGACAGACCTGAATTTACTTATCCCAAAAATTTTCGAGGTAATTGGATCAACTGCTGGTGTCAAGTGGGCTCTTTGGCAGCGTTAGCCTGCACAGCAATGTTAAATCTGCTAAGTAGTGTGAAGATATAATCATGATAATAATAGTAGAGTTTAATCCCTATTGAACTAAGGTGTTCTGTTACACTTTTGACCCCTGTACACTTACCTACTTCTTCCTGGCTCCTGAAATATTGTGAAAGGGGTTAATTGTTGCTGCAGTGTCCTTGATGTGCACTTCTGGAGGCTGAGCCAGCAGGTGCTGCAGTGCTTGACAATCTTTAAATGCTTCAATGCTCTTGAATAGTTGATATATTTTGTAGCCTTCCTTCTACAAAGAGCAGTTTCAAAAATGGGAAACTATACCTAAAAGCAGTTATCAGACATGTGATGGCCACTGAGCCATGTCATGTTGGCAGCATCTGTTTGCCAAAT